GTTTATAAATGTTTGTGTAAACTCCTGACTCTATAAATTCTTGAGTCTGGATGAACCGTTGAAGACTCATCTGTTCACCATAAAACTTCTTGTTGATCGCTTCTGGTTTTTAACTCTCATTATCTGACAATTGCTGATTTTTCTTTTCTCGGTCAGCTACCACTACCAGAGTAAGTAGTATTCTTTGGATCTTGTCCAGCTTGAATCCCCTCCTTCAACAATCTGAAGGCTATGTTTCGGAGGATGTGAGGGAAGGGAATGAAATGGCAACTGATAGAATTAAGATGGAATGTAATTCACTTGTCATTCTATTGTTTTGGAATTATAACGTGGCAGCAGAGGGAGTCATCCATTAATGGAATGGAGTAACTTGCAAGTTTTTAGCCAATGGGGATGCATTTCATCCTTCATCCGCCAGATCCAATGGCTGAAAAAAACTTTAGCCATTTCATTCTGTTCTGATCCATTTCAAATCCATCCAAGCACACCTTTTCTCTTGGATCAGCCACACTTTAAAGTCATGCTCTCCCATCCCCCATGGGGTATTCAGAATTTATTTTCCTAAGTGTTTCTAGGACTATAACCCAAGTTGATGAAGAGAGGCATGAACTTATTTACCTACTTGAGCTAATCCCTTTCGGTGCCAATTATTGACTATGACATGCTATACAATGATAAAAGGTTTTAGGCGTATTACTATGCGGTCTATGGTCTTTCTGATTGATCATCTGTGGAAGCTGGTTACAGAATTTGGTTAAATAGGTCTGAAAGAGTGGATGTTTCCATCTTACTTATCTTTTTACAAGAAAAGGTTGAGAGAATATTTATGCTGTTCTCGCCGGAAACTCTATGTAGTTTTCATCTTCTTCTGTTGAGGTCTTACGGTTATGTGGTTGTAGTGGTAATCCTCGTTACCGTATTGGCACATCAAGCTTATATTTAATTTGGCCCCCACTTGTTGATTGTAGCAGCTGTTTTTAAGCAGGGAGCAACTGTGCAACTAGCTGAATTTGCAGTTCACATTATATCTCACATATGGCCAATCATGATTTTTTATTATGGCACCAAAAATAAGTTGATTGATAAAATAATGGATTGTTCCTCTCAGCAACTGATGTGTGGCTGCTGTAATGAAATCCGAGCGCTATTTGCTTCCTGCAGGTGGTTAATATATAACACACTTTTTACTGTTCAAATGACTGGCTTTATAATTGTGCATTAAGTTGGTTGCTTCATGTTTAAGTTGGTTTGGTGAGGCTTGTTGAAGATTTATTTAAATAGAGTGAAGTAGGATCATTGATATTTTTTCTGAATCTTTAGGGTTGCTTGTGGCAAGTCAAAGTTTTGTTTCTTCGCTTACTGTCCATTGGAAGACGCAAGTAAAGATGGATAGCATGGTTGTGTTACTGTTTCACCTAATATGTTGCCACTTTAACTAGAACGAAGAATTTGCGGGGAGGGGGTGTGAATGACAGAACCTGTGGGGACTTGGGTTGATGTCAAAAAGCACTAGGGACATGCTATGTTGAAGGGAAAATGATATACTTGAAGGCCTTGTTTGGTAAATGGCCCTAATTCAAAGGAATTGAGATTGAAAGTAGGAATGAGATTTTAAAATTATATTTAGTATGAGGTAATAATTATAAAGAATATTTACTTTTATTTTATTTTATAATTAAACATAAATTATAAAAAGATATAATACCCTTTATAATTAATTAAAAAAATTACAACCTTACAACTCTTTTTTCTTTGTCACGATCGAACTCCCTCCCTCCCCTTCTCACCATGTTGTTGCTAAGTGTGGTTCCTTGCTTACTTCCTAGGACAATCGATTGTGGTTTGTCACTAATGGGTCGGCCAAATCATTCCCTACTAGCTCTCTCACTCTCATATGCTTCTCTCCATTACGTTCGTCGTTCTCCTTCTCTACACAGATCAAAAGTCGATCGATCATCGATGGTTAACGGCACTTTGCCATCAATGGGTATTTGTCATTGATGGGTTAATGTTGTCCTTCTCCCCTCGATGGTTATGGTACGTCTAATCCACATCTCTTTCTTTTGCTCCCCCTTACTTCTTTGTCTAGTTAATGGTTTTTTATCGTCGATGGTTATCATCTCGAACACACTTGCGTTGCCATTGACAAAGTGAGGCTTGTCATCAATGAGAAGGAAGGATGAAAGTTGATCTGGGGAAGGACAAAGGTTAGAGGCAAGGGCATTTATGTCCTAATAAAATCAATCCTTGGATTGTTTTTTCAACACCAGGGGGTACCTAGTATTGAGCAATCCCATTTAGATAGGATTGGGGTTGGTACTAGATTGACTAATCACTTATACCAAACATGAAAAAATTGGGCAATCTCAATACCAATGCCAATTCTTACATCCCAATACCTCATACCAAACAAGGCCTAACAGGACTTGGCTTCCCTCCGTGTAAGCCTCTTTGTTGTCACAGGGTTATTATTTTTTCTTTAAAAGGCTAACCTATTGAAATGTACAACACACCTGCTTGCATATTCAAGACCTTCTCTAAGTCCCTTTAAAGTGGGATGTAACATTGTACATACAATGATAAGAGGTTTAATATAGATAGTCCAGATTTACTTTTTTTTTTATATTTATCAAAATAAAAAATTATATAAATTACAAAAAAAATTAATAAATTATGTTTAACAGTTTGAATAGTCCAAATTTAATTTGAATAGTACATATTTAATTTTATTTTTTTTATAATTTTTATAAATTAATTGTTTAAATATATTCTAAATAGTGTAGATTTAATATTAATTTTTAAATTCTTAATATTAAATTTAGGCCATTTATATTAAATTTGGATTGCGTAGACTAGTGAACAAATTTTTTTTTCATATATATAATTTTTTTATTGAGAAAATTTTAAATAAGGACTAGGATGTAACTTAATTACTAGTAGGTCTCAAAATTTTGAAATCTTATTTCCATAATTTTCAATTTATATTAGTAAATTAACAAATAAAGTAAGAAAATTAATAACTAGTGATACTATATAATAAGTTAAGGATATTTTAATTTTTTGACAATTGAAATTGTTTTATTTTTACCCCTTGGATTGAATTAAAATTTTAAAATTTTTTGACACCTGCTAGTAATCAAGTCATATTCCTAATTCTTATTTAAAATTCTTTCCTTTTTATTTTGATAAATATAAAATTAAAAAAATAAATTTGGACCTTTCAAGATTAAGAGGGAAGACTTAGGACTTATAATATTAATAATTTTTTTGGGCTGGTAATGGCAATAATGTCAGTTCATTACTTAGTCAATGCCTTAATTACAATCATTTTTGGGAGAATGACAAATGTTCCTAAGGAAATCAATTAATTCAAAGTAACATTTGATAAATTTTTAAGTGCCAAACTTTATGAATTTACAAATTTGATTCTTAATTTTGTAACTTCATTATAATAAATTTATAATTTATATTTTAAATTTTTTAAAAAATAAATTTATTTATTCTTTAACCATACTAAAATTTAAAAAATAAGTTATAAATTCATCACAATAAAATTATAAAATTGAGAGCCAAACTTATAAAATTAATTTATTTTTTTAAAAGTAATAAATAAATTATTTTATATTTACTTTAAAGTGAGATACCCTATTAAATATGGACAAACATGAAAAATAATGTTAGTTTAAATATAATTAACTATTTTATTATGAGTAAAATTTTATTAAAATATTTTATATTTTTAAGCATACTACATAATAGGCGCAAGGAGAAAGAAAATGTGTGGGAATAGGGAAGATATTCCATTTAAATAAAACTCCTGTGTTGTCATGAAAGTATGTACACTCTCACTCTATTCCGATTTGATTTGTAAAATTACATATACCACTGACATATAAATAGAATTTACAATTTTAATTTTTTTAAAAATTTTAAAATACCCTTTATTAACAAGAGATGGGGGGATAAAATTTATTTAAAGGTTGAAATAATAAGAAATAATATTAGAATAATTATCATTAATAAAATTTTATTTTTTTCAAAACATCTTATATTTTAAAATATTAAATTAAATAAAAAATATCTTGTAAAATATGTTGGATGGAGTATTATGAAGTGCATTAATTATGGTTCTATCATAAACTCCAACTGGAGTAAAAAGTCTATGACACAGAGATTGTGCTAAAAAGAGCAAAGAGAAATGAAGCCTTTGAGAACAAACCGTCTTTCTCTTCCATATTTATTTTGTTATAATCTTAGGCTGCTTGCTCATGGCGGCCCGTGACAGATTCTCACCGAACTCCTCAACCGTTGATTTCTCAACATGGCGGCTGCTTTCTCATCCCTATCTAGTAATTTAACCCAACTTTAATAACCCTATATTTTTTGTTATTTGCTGGAATTTCCCTAATAAAGATAATTATATTCAAAATATTGTTAGATGCTAAACATAACCATCTTTTTTTAAAAAAAAAATAAATTTTAATTTATCACGAAACTAACTTTCTCAACTCAAGTAAATCTAAACTCCCAAAGGCCAAGAGGAAAAATATATAGTTATATATGGATTAGATTACTTGTTTATAGTAGTTAAATCCAGAAAATATTAACGAACAGCCGAAACAAATACCATTCGTGATCCACCTGTTTACCAAATAAAAAAAACCCAGAGTTTTAAAGTACTGCTTAGCCGTCATCTGATTGGCTTCTAAACATCGCAAGAGTCGCCAAATTTGGCTTTGGACACTATGTTTAACAGTTCTAATGCAGTTGTCCACCGTAATTAAAATTAACTAATTATATTTGTGTGTGTAACGGCAATCAACCAAAGAGGAATTAAAAGCAGCCCATCAGGTGCCTTCATTAAAAAAAATGTACTGCACTAATCTCAATCTCTATACCAATAACAATAAAGCCCCAGAAAAAGAAATTAATGAGTGTGAACTAAAATAGGAAAGAGAGTGCGGGGGTGAGAGATAGAGAGGGAGACAGAGAACGAGAAAATGTGTGGAGGAGCCAAAGTCCGTGGTCTATTCTGGTGTTGTATTTTCCCGTTGAAGATCGTTTTCGACTCTCTGAAAATTTTCCTCAGAACCAAACGCCTTTTCTTCTTTATCTTCTTCTTCGTGTCTGTCCCTCTCTCCTTCCTTATATTCTCTGTTTTTCTCTCTACCTGCCACCTTCGCTACAAAATCTACCATCTCGAAGCCGTCGCCCTCCTTGCCCCGACCCGATTTGAGGCCCGGCACGTATGGACGGAGTCCCGCGAAGATGCAATCTACCTCCTCCGAATCAAAGCCCTCTTCTCCGTCCCCTGCTTTCTCCTCTCCCTGGTCACCGCCGTAGCGTCTGTGCACGCCACCGTCCTCTCTTACAATGGCAAGGTTCCCACTCTACAATCCGCCACCGCGGCCGTCAAACAAAATTGGAAGCGTCCGTCGGTCACCACGATCTTTATCTACGCAATCCTGCTCGCGTTCGCTCTTCTTCAACGGATTTTGGCCGCGCTAACACCCTGGCCGCAGCTGAGATTTATACTTCTGGCGATCGGATCGGGTGTAGACGTATACCTGATGGCGGTGCTTAGCTTAGGCCTGGTGGTGTCGATCGCGGAGGAGAGATTCGGTTGGGAGGCGATCAAGGTTGGGTCGGGTTTGATGGCGGGGAGGAGGTTCTGTGGATGGGTGCTATCGGGCTTGCTCTTGTTGGTGTCGGGTTTGATCCGGGGGAAGATGGAGGAGTTGGTGGAGGGTCCGATTTCGTCGTCGGAGTTTCTATCTTCGATGGGCGCTGCGGGTAAAATGGGAATAATGTGTGTATACGGTGCGGCGGTGGTGTGGAGCTACTTGGTGACGACGGTGTTCTACTTCGAGTGCAAGAGAAGGCATGGGATTCGAGAACTTGAACACGAAGAAGACGATGAAACGGGAATTTCGATGCTGTAATTTTTCTTCTCCGATTCTTTTCCCGTTTGTGTTGTAGGATTAATTTTGTTTTCATCAGATTTAGATCCAATCTTGTATCATTCAACCAAAGAAGCATAGCTAATTGTATACATTTGGATTTGATTGGATGAGCTGTGTTTCGTCTTTGTAATCTTTTTACAAGCTTAAATCCATTGCATGTCTTCTGTTACTCCAGTTAATGACCTTGTTCTTTTATTCATCTTTATATCCTTCCTTCCTTTAAAAAAGAAAAACCTTCATATCTTTCCTAAAAAGAAGAAGTAAATAGTTTCTTTCATTTGGTTTGTCTAATTTAGGTTTAATTTTTTTTTTTTTAAATTTATCAATCAATCGAGGAGAAAAATAAGAGCATGAGATGGAGTGAATATGTTTTGATTTTCCTGAAACTTTGTACGTGGCGGCAATATTTAAAATGTTTATGGCGATATTTAATGAGTACCTCTTAATTTTTTTACCAGCATTTAATATCTCTTAGTTATTTTTTTTTTTTGGTCTGAACTCTTAATTATAATGCAAGATCTGTAATAATTGTATGGCACAAAAATCAAAGAATAAGTGAGGCAATTTATGATCAAGTCAATCAAATTAAAACTCAAAACATGAAACTTTTTTCAATTTTAAAATTTAAATGTTAATTATAAGTGAAATCTCAGAAATGTCCTCTTTATTCTTTAATATAGTTCTTTAAATCTCAGAATTCTATTTTTTTACTTGTTTTTTCAGATACCATCAAATTCAATGTTTCTTCAAGAAGTTCTTCGTAATTCATTTTTAACTCAACTATAATAATTTTGATAAAATTGATATTTTTGTAAGTAAAACGATTGAGTGTAAATACAAAATAAAAATTTGAAAATAAAATTTTATATATAGTTTTTTTTTTTTTTTGACTAACCTAGTCAAACATCCTATTGGATAAAACGCAGCACACTAATACTATTAAAGATATCATAATGTTATAATTTTACTATGTATATGCATAGATATAATTAATTTGATAATTATGTATGCATATGAGTATAGTTATCATTATAATTGACATTAAATTAAAATGAGTGGAAATGTGGGTTGGCACAGACAGCTAGAGGATATGAACAAAAACTCTGATCCGTGGGCATGGATTCAAATGACCCTCGACATCATCCGAAGCATCCAAAGCCCAGCTTTATGCTTCATGGGAATTTAACCTCAATGCGTCTACCTTGTTAATAATTTCAACCTAAGAAACAAATTTAAACTATAATAAAATTTAAAATGCCAAACTATATTTGGTATGTGATTGGTTTGACACCATAGTTGGCTTCCGCTTATCATTTTCATTACAAAAATGGTTGTTTTGTTTTAAGTTATCACTTACCACCTTTCTTCCTAAAAGCTATAAGAGGCAGGAGAGATAAATTAAAAAAGAATTAAAAAATATTGTATCCATTATTGATATGAGAGGTATATTATATACACCAAGAAAATACAATATACAATAAAGATTAATAATTATATAATAATATTAAATAACATCTCCCAATAATGATTGATATATATGCACAACAATGATACAAGATATTTGGATAATATTATAGATAACATCCTCCTTCAAACTCAAGATGGCTTAACAAAAAGAAACTTGAATTTGTCTACCAAGAAATGAAAGCGGCCTAGATGAAAGGACTTCAAGAACAAATTTGCTAATTGATGCTTAGTTTGAATTGAAATAAGTCGAATGGTGCCCTGAACAACATGTTGCCAAGTAAAGTGATAGTTAATCTCAATATGTTTGGTCCATTCATAAAACATATCATTGTAAGTAATCTCAATTGCAGCTTAATTATCACAATATATGTCTATGGAGGAGCTATGAGATGCTCTTAGCTCATCAAGTAACCAATAGAGTCAAAGTACCTTAATAGTCGTGTTTGTTAGTGCATGATATTCCGATTCATGACTGGAGGGGGAGGCTAACGTTTGCTTCTTACTTCTCCAAGAGATAAGGGAATGGCCAAGGAAGATATAGAAACTAGTCATAGACCATCGATCATCACGATCACCGCCCCAATCAATGTTACATTAAGCACGTAGTGTAGGAGAGGAGCTAACAGAGAAGTGAAGCCCATAATATAGAGTGCTTTTGATCTGAAGAACTGCTAGGTAATGAGTAGTTCAAGGCTCTAACAAAAACTGGCTGACAATGTGAAGTGCATGAGCAATGTCAGGACGAGTAACAGTAAGATAAATGAGTCTCCCAACTAGTTGGCAATAATGGATGGGAATATTCAATAAGGTTTCATCAGTGAAATATAGTGAACATTTAGCTCAATAGTAAAATTTGCAACCTGAGGAGGTGAGCTCAATATATCAAATCAATGGCATACTTGACCTAAGAGAGAGATGTAACATCTCTTCCATTGTGGACCTCAGGCCTAAGAAAATATATTGTTCAGTCTTCTAAGATCTTTCATTCTAATTGCTGGCCTAAATAGTCTTAAGCTCATAGACTCCTATATTATCACTACATGTGATAATCATGTTATCAACATACAATAGCAACATAACAATACTACAAGCAATAGAGGGAACAAAAGAGCTGAGTTGTAAGGACTACATGTGAAACCTAGTTGACTCATAATGTTATTGAATTTATCAAACATGCACAGGAAGCTTTCTTAAGTAGATATAGAGCCTGATAAAGATAAAACCTTGTTTTTCAAATGTTGATATCCAGGTAGAGGTTTCATATACACTTCTTCCTTTAAATTACCACTCAAAAAGGCATTTTTAATATCCATATGATGAAGAATCTGGTGCTTAATAGCAGTAATGACTAAAAGGCTGCGAATAGAAGTCACACAAGTAATGGATGAAAAAGTCTCCTCATAATCAATACTATACTCCTAAGTGAAACCATAGAGACACTCGAAAGGAGAAATGTTACCAATGACATGAGATGAGATTAGATTTGATTGATACAAAAGACAAAGGTTAAGCCTACTTTACCCCAAAACCATTTAGGACAAGAGGAGGAAATGAGCAATTTTCTAACATAATCAAGAATATAATGATGTTTATGCTTAGTACAATCATTTTGTTGAGAAGTGTAAGGAAAAGAATACTGAAAAATAGTACCTTGAGATTAAGAAAACTGAGTAATCTACAATCACAATATTCCAAAATTTATTATGATAGAAAAATTTGGTGACTTTATAATACTAAGTGTGAATCATTTTAGAAATTTTGATATAAAGTTCAAGTAATTATATTGATATTTCATCATATAAATCTAATCTAAATAAGAAAAATCATCAACAAAATCACAAAGTATCAGGATCCCTTATAAAGGGAGTAGGGGCAGGACCCTAAACATTAAAATGAATCAAATCAAATGAAGAAGCAGTAATAGAATCATTTTTATGAAAAGACAAAGCAGGGTGTTTAACAATTTGACAAGAAATGCATTGCAAATACTGATTACGAATATGACTTAAAAGACCATTGAAAATTAAAGGACATAATTTACTTAAAGAAGGTTAAGCAGACGATGATACCATAAGTCGAGAGAAGAATCAAGAGAAGAGAATATGAAGGCAACACACAATGTGAGAGTAATAATCTTAGGTAGGTGCATTAACGTAAGCTCGAACATACAACCAACTTTGCTCCTAGTCTTGACAACCTATCTTGTTTGAGAATCTATCACAACACAATTGTGTTTATTAAATAATATGTCATAACCCATATCAATAAGTTGTCCAATAGAAAAAAGGTTGAAGTTAATGGAAGGGATAAAATATGTATCATTAATGGATATGGAAGGTAATGAGACAGTACCAATATGACTAACAAGAATTTCAAAATCAGCAATAGTGTGTATAGGATAAGCAATAGAATTAGGGATCATAAAGGAGAAGAAATTTTCTTGACCTGTCATATGATTGCAATAAGCAAAGTTAAAATACCAAGTGGATTTACCCAGTGATAGTAGGTATGGTAGCAGACGGGCTAAAGGAATTAGAGATGAGTGTGTACAGCAAAGTTTCAAGTTTAACTAGAGAAAATCTCAAAGTAGACTAAACAAGATCACATTTTTTTCAATCAAAGATAGTAATTGCAACCATTCAAAATAATTGAGATAGATTGAGCAACCTTCGAATGTTCCATTTTAAAGGAAAAAAGCTTACAAAAGAGAATGAATGTTGGAAAACACTTAAACTAGATATTGTAGTGCGAACATAATAATTCTCACACCAGAAAACAAATCAATGATTTGACCGTTAAAAATGACACATTAGATGTTTTGTACCTGTTGATCAAATTTTATCATAGTCCAACGAGTTAACGAATTTGCAAACATTGATTTATCTAAATTGCCTCGTAGATATGTGAAAATATTTTTGAGGTGGATTTGAACTCATGACGAAGGATGGCAACACTGATGCAAATGAAGGTTAAAACTCTTCAAAAACTAACTTATCATAAAAAATAATATTATATAGCTCTGGTACTATGAAAGCTATCAAAGATAAAAGAGATAAACCAGAGAATGATTGAAAATATTATAACTATTATTGATTTGAAGGGTACATTATATATATTAAGAAAATAGGCAATACAATAATGACTAATAATTATATAATAATATCAAATAATATCTTCTAATAATGACTGAGATATATATATATATATATATATATAATAAAAATATTGCGAGAATATTATAGACAATACTTCCAAACATCCCAAAATATTTATGCCTCCTTTGACTGCTTTTTATTTTGGGTTATGGCATAGTTTGGTTATTGGTAGCATTGATAGAATTGAAATTTCATTGCACTAATAAATAGTGATTCACCAGAGTTTAATTCATGTTAAGAAATGTACACACGTTTAGTGCCAAACAATTTCTTTATATATTATTTTCTAATAGAAAAACATAGGTGCACAATAAATAAGAAAAAACAATTTCATTGCTTGCATTGTAATTGAGAGGT